AAAAAAAGACATACCGTTTCAAGACCGTTTCAAGACAACAAATACATAAAAGGGAGAAAGGGTAAAGGCAGTTTAAAAATATAATAACATAAGCTGTTTTTACGACCACAGAGCGTATTTAGAAAATGATCAGTGGTGAAAAAAACTTTAGATCTTTAAAACACTAAACTTCTGTAATATTTACTGAGATACCGTTTCCGCTGCACTCTCCTGACATCTGCTGTAGAAATTGTGCAATTACTATTTTAGACAATCAATTTCAAGCGGCTTAATGCTGGGGGGGTGGGGGGGAGCCGGAAAATGAGCAGAAAGGGGAACATAAAATACCTACTAAAGTAAGTTGTTTTTACTTTTATAATTTTTACTTTTCTAAACAACCTAAGTAACCTATAGTCTTTAAAAACAAACAAATAAACCAAACCAAAAGAAGGTAACAGGGATATTTTAAACTAGAATTACCCTTTAGATCCCATTGTATAGTTCCACCAAGCAGTTAGGACTTCTCTAGACCTGATCTTTGGGATATAAAATGTCATTGTTTCGTCATTTTATCCTCTCGGATATTTGTGTGATATTTCCTCCTAAATCTGAATTCTAGGTTATTGGGTAAAAATATCTTCAGTCTTGCTATGCACTGCTGTGAAAAAGTATCCTGTCCCTTATGTTTCAAATCATAAAACTAATTTTAATATTGGATAAAGACAACATGAGTAAATACAAAATGTATTTTTAAATGATTATTTGATTCATTAAGAGAAAAATGCTATCTAAACCTACCTGTGAGAAAAAGTGATTTCGCCCTGACCCTTATAATTGGTTGAGCCACCTTTGCCAACAAGAATCAGATTTGTTAAATGACAAATTAAGTGTGTTTTATCACACTTTTTCTAAAGCTGATTTCAATTTCATGAGCTACACTCAGCCCTGATTACTGCCAGACCTGCTAAACAACAGTACAATAAAATAAAAAAGGACCTGTTTGACAGAATGAAGTAGGCTAAAAGATCTTAAAAAGCAACGAATCAGGCCGTGATCTAAAGAAACTCAAGAAAAGATGAGAAATAAAGTCACAGGGTTACAAAGACCTTTTTAAGGCTTTGGGGCTCACGCAAACCCCGGCAACAGCCACAAACTGGTGTAAATCTAACAGGATTTCATGAATAAATTCATAACGTTGATGATATGAAACATTTAGATTTGTGACAAATATGCAAAACTAAATATATAGAGCTCACTAAAAATGGGATAGCCATGTGCTCACAGCAACCTTCACATCTGACCTCAAAAAACCAAAATCGAATAATTTCATCACTGAGTACAAATGAACCCTGGTCCCTGCCTCTTCATCCTTTACTTGGGAAGAATTGTACATATTTTCAGCAGTCTTTAAAAATACTCAAGGAATTCATGATACACTAATTGCATGTGGATATGTTTCAGTTAAATGCACAGGGAGATCTTAATGATCTCAGGCACGAACACTCAAAAACAAAATTAAGACTCATCGCGTTGTACTCAAAGCTGGTTTATTCAATTTACGATTAGACCCTGAAGTTTGCGTACACATACACACACACGCACACACACACACACACAAACAAAATTAAGCACCACTCTCTGTGCCTGTACAGTGCAACATGCTGAAACAAACACACAAAACGTATTAATGACACGGCATATATCCAATCCACACAGAAAGTCATCGTTAGTCGGTACAAACATGTATTGTTTGGATTGTTTGCTATGGTGAAAGTAATTACCTGGATTCATTAATCAGAGAGCAGCACAGCTTCCCGAATCACAATAGGAATGACGACTTTATTGGATTAGTTGGCTTAGATATACAGGGAGTATGAATTAATGGCCCATTAGAAAATACAAAAAATAGTGGTCCTATGTATTGCTGGACAGAACTAGAAAAAGTATATAAAAATGGCACACAGTTTAAACATAAAACAGAATAAGACAACAATCTGTTATTTTACAACTTATTTACAGAAGCCATGGTCTCAAGGTAGTCTCGTCTCTGTAGACTCCTAAAGCTTCACTAGCAGGCGTGTTTGTGTGTGTGTGAGACTGCAAATAAATTATACTGCTCCACAAACTCCTGCTGTGTGCTGCCAGTGCTGGCTCTGTGCTTCACGAATATCACGCATGGAGCACACTACATAGAAAATAACGATGCATGAGCTATCGCGTTCACATCTTTTATCTTTGGAGACTCAAATATAAGATGTCAAAATTAGTACACATCTCCATTTCAAAGGCAGAGAGAGAGATCTCAACTGAATTTAAACTTTCTTTTTTACATTATTGGGAAACAACTTTTTTTTTGTGTGGTTTTTTTATATGTTTAAAAGAGCGTGTGAGGGTATCAAAGGACAAAACAGATTAAGAGCTTGTTAAGTTTGACAGCACTTCTTGGAAACGTCTAGCACGTTCTCCAAGAAAGGATAGAAATGTCATGAATGAGCTAAAAGAACAGAGAGAAGATTACAGATATTGTTCCATTATCATTAGACTCCACACGCTGGAGTCCTGACCGACGTGAAGCCACACAGTTTCCTCTGTGAGTCTTCTATCAGCTGCATGTTGCTGTCTTGTAGATGGTATGCGATGCTGCTTCTCTCCTTGGGCAAACAGGGAAGTCTATGCTTGGAAGTCATTTCCAAAGTGTCTCCTCTGTTCTTCGGTCATGGACAGGTAGGTGGCCCTCATAGTGGGAGAGTACTATAGACAAAACACCAACACAGAGACATAGAGAATATTACAAGTCTGTTGTATTAGATTGTGGTGATGTAAACATGTAAAACTCATTTGTAATGGAAGAAAGTAGGGAAAATGGGCTTAAAGGAACAGTCCACTGAATATCTATCTTAATGTATCAAATTCACTCTACTGTGGCACTGACATGAGAAATGTTTGAGGCTCTCGACTCCCCTAGTGGGACTTAAAGCAGGGAAAGCATGGATGATCAGGTTAAAAAAAACAGGTGAAGTGAAACTACAGAAGAATGAATATATAGTACATGTTTATAGTATAGCTACACGCTAGACAGTTTATTAGTTACACCTATCTAGTTCTGGGTTGGAGCACCTTTTGCTTTCAGACTGGCTGTAATTTTTGCTTTAATAGGAGGGTTCATAATTTTTTCAAATCACCTTTCTTCCCCATTCTGATGCTCAGTTTGAACTTCAGCAGGTCATCTTGACTATTTTTACATGCCTAAATGTCTTGGGTTGCTGCCATGTGATTGGATGACTAGGTATTTGTGTTAGCAGTGGAATAGGTGAGCGTATGGCTGGCGAACGTATGCGTATATAAAGACTACTGGCTAGTATATCAACAAAAATTCTGTGTTGGAGAGTATGCAAACTTTTAAATGCCAGATTTCATTCCTACAGTGGTTGAATATTAGTTTCTAAGACAAAGTTTCAGTGGAGTATTCATTTAAATCATAACAGACCATGGCAGGGTAAAATATTTTAGATATCACCTATAGTTTGTTTTAAAAGGCCAATCCTTTATTCATTAAATACACACATAGCATAAAGTATGAAACACTTTCCAGGTAAAATCCATTTTATTGCAGTACACAGAATCCCTACTGCTAACACTTTTGTGTCAGTGCTAGGTGTAAAACGAAATGACCGGAGAAAGACTGCATGCACATAGGAGCTGACTGTGAAAGTACCCAGAGACGCAACTACCGTACCACCCTGTGAACACCAGGGGCTGAAATACCCTTGCTAAGTGAACCTATCTGCGACGGGGACAATAGGTTGCAGATTAAAAGTCATGCTAAACAGGAGAACTGCACAGGAGACGAGATAATGTGAGGTGAAGGAGAAATGATAGGAGATGGAACAGAGGGACAAGTGAGGGACTTTATTCCTGACAGAGAGAGAAGAAAAGACTTACTCGATTTCTATACTGCTGAGAGTATATCTCCAAAAGTTGATTAAAAAAAGAGGGAATATAGAAATGAAAGATACAAACAAACATACACATGACAAACAAACAAACAAACAAAAAAAATATATAAAAGAAGCTGTTAGCCGAAGATGACTGCATGATTCTGTACAGTTATAGCCATGAGGAAGAAATTAAGATGCATATTATTTGGTTGTATTAAAGAGTCAAAAGACAGAGCATATCACATGTTTAGTTGGTACTTTAGCTGGAATTAAAGGTTGAAGGTTAATGATAATGATGGCTAACTTAAAAAGAATTACATACATTAAAACTGCAGTAACACATGTATAAATTTGGTTCAATTTAGATTCTAAACATATAAGCAATCTTTAATAAAACATCTGAGCAGGAAAAAGGATAAAAACTTATTTCTTTCCTATAACTGTAAGCAAAATCCAGATTAGAGATCTGTAAAATGGTGTACAGCATGCTACTAGGAGCGTGTGCTGAATGAAAACTTCATTTAAAATGTTTCTATTTTTATCTCTGTGATATAACAGGAGACTAGAGGCCCAGCAGGGTGCTGAGTTAATTCAGTGAGGAAGAAAAACTTGTGTGTCGACAGTGAAAGAGTTTATGGGTTACGGCCTGTGTCACCTTATCCTGAGAGAGAGGCCTGAGAGAGGCTAAATGATGTTCTGTTCATATTAAATATTAACTAAATTACTTCTCCTCTCCTTGCTTTGGCACTGTAAGCCAGGCTCCTGTATGTTGTTCACAGCACAAAATAAAAGCCACAGTGTAAAACACAAAAGTATCTGGTTAAATACTATAAAGAACCTTTAAAAAGAGTGGATTTAATCGGAACTAAAATTTAAGTGACGTGAATGTAAAATGTAACAAAGGAGGTTAGCTGAGTCACCAAGTTAAAAAAAAATGAAAGAAATAATAAGCTGTTATTTCTAAGAAAACCACTTCCTGAGTTTAACTGAAAAAGAAATGACATCATAGGAAGGACTTGGCCTCTGGGACCCAACGCACCGATGGGGGTGGAGAGCCTCGTCCTATCAGAGGCACATTCTCATACCGTGGATTTCCCCCGAAAAGAGCTGTGTGGTTCCTGCAGAAAAAAATGAGACAAGTGACTCGGATATGGCTCAAATTTCTGATGTCACTTTCCGCCCCCCCCCAAGTTGTTTTTTTTTGACTCACATGTACTCAGACATTGGGGCATTGGAGACAGCCGGGGCGGGCGGGTGCAGGCTGGTCTGGCTGCCCATGCTGCTGCTGTAGCTGCAGAAGCTGTGCATGTTGGTGTGGTCAGGGTTCTGAGACCCTAATCTCCTTGCCCGTGGGTTGAACGGGTCCTCCTCATCCATGTCATCGTAATCTTGTTCCCTTCAGTGAAAAATTAGGAAAGGAGCATCAGAGGAAAGGTTTACGATATTGCATTTCTTGGGTACGGTGTGAATGACGCCTGATGGAAACAAAACTTCAAATTACAGTATTCTTTGGTATGTGCTGCCTTAGACGGTACACCGGGATGTACATAGAGAATGGTGCAGAATGAGAAAATGAGGGCGCTCAAGCAGGCAGACAAGCCTGAAAATGTACTGACCTGCAGGCAATTTGTCTCCATGCCCTGGGAATGGCACACAGCATGACAGTGAAGGCACAGGCTGCCAGAATGGAGAACAGGCAGAGGTACAGTACACCCTCCACTCCATCATAGCACACCCCCACCATTGCATCCAGGTAGTCCTAAAGAGGTCAAATGCAGAACACAGATATGTGGCCAAACTGTTTGCTCATTATCTGTACTCTCGCTGCCATGTTTGACTACACAGCGGAACAAAATGAGCCAAAGATGAAAAAGCACTTGGTGCATCGGTGTGCGTCATCATTTTCTTCATTTATGTCTTGCACATTCGGTGGGACTTCAACATCATTCACGTAAACCGCATTGCAGTCATGAACCGCACTGAGCAAACAAACTTGCAAACAACAAAAGAGGTTTTTAAAATTACTGTTATCTTCTCTGCTCTCAGTTCCACTTTCAGTTTTACTCTGAAATCCTGAATGGCCACTTACTCTCAAGTTGACCTAGTTGTGCTTCTCTAATGCCAATTAGGATGCAGTGAACAAACCTTGTTGAGCCCCCTGCAGTCCAGCAGGGCGGTCAGCTGGTGCAGACTGGCCTCCGAGGAGTTGAGCAAATGTTGTATACCCAGGAGATCTCTCTGTGGAGAGGTCAGCGTATCATTGAAAAACACTTCAGCCCTTATTTTTTTTCTCAAACTACAGCATAAAAGTGTTTGTGTGGGCCATACCTCAGCCGTAGGAAACAGTGGTACAGCAAACTGCAACAGACCCTGGATCTGGATCTGCATGGTGGTCAGAGACCTCTGGAAGATGGCCAGAGGCTGCAAACAAAAGTACAGAAGCAAATGAACAGCAGGCAAATAACACATATGAATGCAGCAAGCCTTGGGCTGAGTAATAGAGGTACTGTAATATGTACAGTAATTTAAAAAAAGCCTCAAAAACTATAGGTAAAAACATTAATGCCATAATAATTGGCTTTGATTTTATGTCACTGATCTGGTTTGGATTTATTGAAATGGAAAATCCAGGTTAATGGTCAAAAAGACTGGCCTAAGCTAAATCTAATTTTCATTGGAGGTATTGGGTGTTATCACAGTTTGTGTTTCCCCTTGTTTTATACAGCGATTTCAGATTTTACAACTTTATTAAAAACCCAACTTTTTCTTATGATAATATAAATACAAATAAAATTTTTATATGTCAAAACGTCAGATTCTTCACTTAATTTTAACATGCTTTGATTTTGGTTACTTGAGACACAATATCCCATCTCAACAACAGATCTATGTTCCCACCAGCAGGGGGCAAAATAAGCATCCAAATTCAGCCCAGAGTAATGGGATAGTCTGTTCTACCTGAAACACAATCGTTCCTGCCTTTTTTAAAAAAAATTAACATTCAAGTATGATCATACATCAATTAATCTGCCATATCTTCAAAGTAAATCTGTATCTTCACAGTCACCCAGCCTAACAAGACGAGCCTGGAAACCCCCACGCCTGGGGCACAGTGTTAAATTGAAACAAGATGTGGTCAATTACCTCAACTATACATAAATGTAATTGCTTTCCTCTGATCTGACATTTTTTCTCGATCTACACGATCGTCCATGGCCCAGTAGCTCTCTGCTACACAGTCGACTGGCTTCAATTGATTTTTTTCCCCCAACTTTAGCTTGGGTGAGTTTGTTCTAAGCCAAATAAAGTGAAAAAATAGGACAAAGACAGTGCATGGAGGAGGACAGTAAAAAAAGAGAAGAGATGATAAAAATAGATAAAGAGTTGGCACAGGAGTGATGCCAAAGGCAGTGTTACGCTGGGGCAGGAAGGTAGACCTGCAGGGCACTGCGGAGAGACAAACACCTAAGAGAGTAAGATAAACAGGGGGGAGAAGCTTGTTTGCTTGCCAATCAGTGTGAATTCCTGTATCTGCCAGCTTGCTTGTGAACTTTGCACCTGTTGGCTATCTGTGTGACAGTGAAAAGAGCGCTGACTTTGTTTACCAGGCAAGGTGACGCTTGTCTGCCCTCTGCCGCTGTGCTCTTGTGGTGTGCTCCTCGGGGCATGTCTACAAGAGCCAGATAATAAGATCTGAGGTCTGGTGAACCAGAACTTACAGAAATTGACTTAACTGCTGACTGATGTCAGCTGGGAAGTCAGTGAAGTGACCCACAAACTGCTTCCCTGAAGAGTAACTCCACAGATCCTCAGAAGAGTGGGAGGAGAAGAGATTCTCCAGGTTGTTTCATCTAACGTGCAATTTCATAGCCTTTGTCTCGGCAGTTTTGTAACACTAAGGTATGCTTTGTCATGCATCAAGGAAGCAAGAACAGAAAGAGAGAAAAATAATGGCGACAGTCTTTGATTCTTGGTGGTTTTATAACTCCTCTGCTAGAAGTTAGGATGTAACTCAGACAGACAGGGCTGGACGAAGGGAAAGCCTGACAAAGATGAAGCCTGAGGGGCAAAGAAATGAGCAAAGACTGAGCATCGCAAATTACAGTTCAAAAGACATGAAGGCATTTTGCTGTTAAAACGGAGCGACATTTGTTTTTGTAGCTATTAATATCGATTAGTATCGCCACAACAACAGCTGTCTTAAGTCTGTTTAAATGAGTCAGGAATGACCTTGCTTGTATTTAAATGGTCTTTTAAATGCTGTTTACACAATTCACATTTCTGAGATAAAAAAAAAAATTCAGATAAGTTTCTTTTTAATAAATAAAAAAAAGAATAAGTAACAGTTTCTTCTTTAAACTTCTAAGATGGAGTTTTGAGGAGAAATTTGGAGTCTTTTAAGGGCTGATTATAAAAAAGAATATAATATTAATCCTGCCATAATTAAACTAATATTAGGCTTAATCATGAATCTGTTTGATATTTCCTCATTAATACCTTTAAAAAAGTAAAAAAAAAAATCAGGACAAAGCGTCTATTTGAATGTTGATGCAGTGGGTAGTTTGAACAGATTTGTTAAATTCAAAATAAACATACACTCACGAGACATTTTATTAGGTACACCTTACTAGTCTTCGAACTTCTTTAATTCTTCATGGCACACATTCAGTAAGGTGCAGGAAATTGCTCAGAGGTTTTGCTCCATACAAACATGATAACGTCACACAGTTGCTGCACATTTGTTGAGTGCACATCCATGATGCAAATCTCCTGTTCCACCAAGGTGCTCTACTGGATTGAGGTCTGGTGTCTGGTGATGTTCAAGAAACCAGTTTGAGATTTTTTGAGCTCTGCGACACGATGTGTTATCTTGCTGGAAACAGTATCCACACTGCTACACCACCAGTAGGAACTTATGTAATGATATAAGGCAGGACAGATGCTTTCATGTCGCTTTTGTCAAATTCTGTTCTCGCCATTCAAATGTCACAGCAAAAATAGAGACGCATCAGACTAAGCAACATTATAATCTTCTATACTCCAGTTTTGGTGAACCTGTGTGAACTGTACTCTTGTTATCTGCTGACTAGATAGACAGCCTGTGTGGTCTTCTGCTGCTGTAGCCCATCTGCTTCAATATGTTGTACACTCAGAGACGCTCTTCTGCATACCTTCTGCTATGTTCCTGTCCTATAAGCTTGAAACAGTCTGGCCATTCTACTCTGACCTCTGGCATCAACAAGCCATTTTCACCCAAAGAGCTGCTGCTCACATGATATTTTTTCCTTTTTGGGCCATTCTCTGCAAACCCCTGAGATGACTGTCTGGGGAAATCCCAGAAGATCGGCAGTCTTTGAAACAATCAGAGCAGCCCATCTGGCACCAACAACCAACCACAACACAGTTCAAAGTCACTTAAATTGCCTTTTTTGTCCCATTCTGATGCTTGGTTTGAATTTCACCAGCCCATCTTGAGCATGTCTTCATGCCTAAAAGCAGTGAGTTGTCACCCTGTGACTCTTACATTTCTGTTAACTAGCAGCTGAACATGTGTACCTAATAATGTTGATGGCAAGTGCATAGCCACCAAAATAACAACATTTAACAACGTTAAATTGTATCTGTAAAATACCCAGCAAGTGTCCAGTTTTACCTGCACATCATAAATCCTCATTTATGGATAAAGATTTAATTTCAAATGTCTACAGAACATTTCTTTGTGTTAATCAAAACTCTTTTGGCTTAGATGTGTGGACATTTTATGACCTGCAATTTTTGCGAGGAGCTCTGCAACACATCCTGTTTCCTACCTGCTGGAAGGGGTTGGAGAGAGTCTGGTTGCAGTACAGATAGTAATGAACAATATCTGAGAAAACACAAACACAAAAGCAGACAGAAAATGTTTTTTCATCATCATTGTCCTCGCCTTGCTAAATATCAATTATCGCCATGGCCACAAATTTAATGTCACATAATGAATCCATTAAAAGATCATTATTATTCACACCACACTTACCAGCACTGATGACATCCTTTGTTTTACTCATGATGTATTTGTCAGGGGAAATGCAGAAATCACTCGTGCCCTAAAATAAAACAGGAGATGTGAGAGGAGTGGAAAGAGAGTGGAAAACAAGGACATATTAGAAAAAAGATTGAATGGTTCACATTTCATGACTCACAAAAAAATTCATGACTCACATTTCAAAGAAGGAATGATGTGGTGTGTCAAATGAAAGTAATCAGCTTGACAATTATTTATACATATTTTGTACTAAAACATTTTTCCAGAAACATGAATAGTGATTGCTATCATTTTTAGCGCCTTTTGACACAGTAGAGGGAATACGGCTGTTTTTGTACCCCTTTAACACATCTTAACACGAATGCTTTTCAATTCAATGCAAAGTGCTAACAAGAAACCTGCCTTGGCAAAAATAACAAAAGACAAGTGGCAGTCTCCGCTGAACTGTGCCGTCTGAATGCTAAATGTCCCCGGGGCTCAGGACAAACACTGCGTGTAGCTTAACCTTCTCTGGGGGGTACGCTAATGAGCCCCACACAGAAGAGATAAAGCAAACTGTGTTTCCCAGCAAACCTGAGCTAGTTTGTTAGAGACGAGCTCTGCAATTCAGGAGCAAGTCTGTTAGAATTCCTGAAGGGACGACAGTGAATCTCAGAAAATGCAAAGTTCTGACTACCCACTGTTGGTAATTAGGAGTTCTGCCAATGGGGTGTATTCATTATGCATTTATTTACTAAGGATTCAGCCATTAATTTAAGTGCAGTCTGCACACAGACAGGATGTGAAGATTATCTTGCAGGTCTGTCAGTCACACCTGTAAATACAGTCACACATGAAGCTGATCAGAAACTCAGATAAATCCAGATTCTATGTACTAAACAGTTGTTAGTTCTTGTGGTTGTGGTGGGTGTTTTCGCGTCATTAGAGCAGGGCAATGAAATGCATTCTTATTTAAAGTGGGACACAGCTGCGCGACTGCAGTGGCAAATCGATTTTCACAAGTTCAGCTCTCAGTCGGGGTGGAGGAGGTCGAAGATTTTCAGACATTTTCAGATGGCAGTGGTACGTGGAAGTTAAAGAGGTCACCATGTGTGTGGCGTTCCTGCACATACGCACAAATTCTCCATAGGTGCTAGCTGGCTCGCTGAGCTGAAAAATTGTGTAGAACAATTACATCTAAACAGGAATGTTGGCCTGTCCTGTGTTCAGTCTGTAGTGCCTGAAAATGCTGTCAGTGATTTTATTATAAATGAGGTTTTTGCATAAATTCAATCGAATAGTAAATTCAAAAGAGATCTTTCAATTAATGAATACTTTCACATCTTTCTCTATGTTAAATTTTGTTTTTTGGAATTAGGGCTGAAAAGATCAAAAAATGCAAACAAATAAACACATTCTAACTGCTTTTGCCGCTTTTCTCTATTTGATATAAATTCTAAAAGAATTTGTTTAAAGAAGACACCTGATTAAAGCATAAAGAATGAATCAACATTTAAAGATGAAATGCCTTCATACGATGATGTCTACAAGTCTGTTATTAGAAACTGAAAACTGTGAAGTCCACACTGACTCACAAGCACCAACTGTCTGCCTAACATTTATGCAAGCAGTTTGTATATAACCCTCACATTTATATAAAGGAACACACACACATGAAATCTGGGCCTTTCACATAAACATCTCCTTTAAGAAGTAACACCTGCATCGACATAAGCACAAGCTCCTATTTACACATATAAATGATGTCTGAGGAGCCAGTGCAGATTCTTCATGTAATTGCTTTTACGAAGCCTTTATGATGTTTACTCTCAGGCAAAGAAAAGGCCCAGGTCCAGGTGGGCGATCGTGGCTCAAGAGTTGGGAGTTCGCCTTGTAATCGGAAGGTTGCCGGTTCGAGCCCCGGCTTGGACAGTCTCGGTCGTTGTGTCCTTGGGCAAGACACTTCACCCGTTGCCTACTGGTGGTGGTCAGAGGGCCCGGTGGCGCCAGTGTCCGGCAGCCTCGCCTCTGTCAGTGCGCCCCAGGGTGGCTGTGGCTACAATGTAGCTTGCCATCACCAGTGTGTGAATGTGTGTGTGAATGGGTGGATGACTGGATATGTAAAGCGCTTTGGGGTCATTAGGGACTAGTAAAGCGCTATATAAATACAGGCCATTTATCTATAAATTCTCAGAAACAGAGGTACAGTAAAAGCCAATTTCTATCCCGACTATCTACACAAATGTATCATCTAGGGATCCTTAATGAATTTATTAGACTACCTGTCATAAAAAAAGGAAAACATTTCAGAAATTTGTCAAAATAATATTTTTCATTATTAGTTATTTTGTTATTTATTTTGGTATTAATTAATAGCAAACTGATTTCACATATTTACACCCAAATTTGAGCACATGGACTTCTCAGAAAAAAACTCTGTAATGAATTGAGCATAAAATTAAACAGCTAAAAGTAATTTTTCTGTCAAGGACTGCAAGTAAATAACTAATTTGGCATCCTAATCAAAAAAACATGTTTTCTGATTTTTAAACATTTTTTTGCAAAACAGTACATCAGAAAATTCAGGGTTAACTATAATTATATACTGGTATTAAAAATATCATTTTTAAAGATCTTGCGTATAGCAGTTAATTAACCATTACAGAAACATAAAGAAATATTATCAATCCTACTAATTTCATGTCAAACTCATTTTACAGTTTGATGTTAAGTGGAATAAATGAGTGGACCTCCACTGTCTGTCAATCTAAAGAAGTTTAACTACACATTTAAACCCTGAGATATTTAAATATCAGAAAAACATGATAAGAAATGCTGTTCTAGAAAGTTTAAAGAAATCTGTCAGCATGGCCCCTAAATTATGACAAATTAATGTCTAAAATTACAGAAAACGTTACTGTATCTCACTGAGTTTTTGTTAATTCACATAAAATGCCAATTTTTTTATTGAATTTATGTATAAATCTTTTTAACTCTGGACCCCCCCCCCGAGAAAAGTTTCACTTTGTATCTGTCTTGTATACAGTGTACTGTCAGCACAGTGGTTCAGTAGTTAGTGCTGTTATCTACTAGCAAAATGTTTCGGGGTTCAAACCTGACCAAAATCATTTCCAAGTGTATCAATGAATAATAAAATATGTTGATGGTTTTCTAATAGAGCTACTCTTACACGCTTTTAACAGATCTGTGTATGTGCTGTTTTAATAAAGTCCAAATTGTCACCAGAGTTTCAAGACTGGGCTCTACAAGGTTCGGCCCACAAGAATAAGAATAAGAATAAGTACCTCCTGTCCAGGGTAGTACCCAGTAACAAGCTGTTGTACCGCTAAAGACAGGTTCTTTATTTTTTAAGGGTGTACAAATCACTCATTCAGCCTCAGCCTCAGTGACACCCAGCAGACACGTTACATAAAAGTGAGACGTAATGATTTTGTAACACACACAAAATCATTACGTCTGAGAGGACAAGATGTACCCGTGACTCTTCTGAAGCAATTTATGAAAAGTTATATTATTCATTTATCAAGGGGAGATGTAGAACAAGAAGACCTTTTAGTTAGATTACCATGTAATTTACTGGATGCTTTCAAGTTCCTTAAAGGGAAAGTACTGTCTTTCCGTTGAGATAAGCCTTACACACCATAGATGGACCTGAACGCAGCATGTGTCATGGTGCAGGAGACTAAATGGACAGGATGAATCATCTACTGAGAAATTCTGTATTTGTCTGCATTTGCAATGTCTTGACCGGTGGATGCAGATGGGGGTTTTGGTGTTTTAGTCATACATGTGTGCCGCAACATTGCTATAAAAGGAAACCATTAGTGTCATTGTGTCAGGAAATAAAGACCACACCGAGTGAAGCCTCGCAAAGAAGACTTGAACATGCAGATAAAAAAGGAAGATAAACCCAGAGACCACTGTGCAACAGATCAAACTTCTCGCTGTTACTTACTCCTGATTACTTGACGCTCATTATCTCCAAATTTAATTCAAACGTGTAAACAATCCTCTGCTGCCCTGAGTAAAAAAAAAAAGCAACATCCAGCAACAAAACTGAGAAAAATAGCACAGACGCCCGAGGCAGCTTAGTCAAACACCAGTGCTCAGCCACCTGATATTCATCGTGTCTCATGTTTCTCTCTATTTTCACGGTGAGTTCTCACCTCCACATCGATCAAACACTTGCGCGGCTTTTTTAAGCCTTGGGACGATGAGAGAGGAAAAACACTGAAATTAATCACCTACTCAGTGTGAATACGGCAATTGGATTCGTGTTGTCATAATCCTTGAATTGGAATCGGGTTATTGAGCTCTGTATAATGCTGCTGAGAAGGTGTGGGTTTGCAATTTTGTTCTTTTGTCAGTCTATTTTTAGTGCCGTGTGTTTTGACAGCAGAGATCAAAAGCTCATGACGTGGTAGACGGATAGCTGTGATCAGAAGAATTTGAGATTGGGCAGTTTTAGAACCTGTTTAGATGACTCTGTGCATCTGTGAGGGATCTCTGTCACTTAGACTGATTTCATAAATATTTTTGTAACCTTAACATCCTGATAAAGCTTAAATACTTGGCTTTTAAGCTTAGAACCACTAATTAGCAGCTAATACCTTAAATAGATATATAGTTTCTGCAAACTATCAAGTATCATAAGAGAGGTGACCAGTTTAGGGTATTTTATATCAAAGTAAGTCAGTCACTCAGGGGTAAGAAAGCGAGGGAGCTTACCACAGCGGTTGCCAGGTCAGCTCCCAGTGAAGTCCAGCTCAGGACTAGCGTCAGCACTCCAAACACCATCATCCTGCAGAAATACAAAGAAACAACAGGGTCAGGTTGAAACTCAGTGCAGTGATCTGTTTATTTGCTAAATTAAACTAAGATTAACTGAAGGCTCAGTGAACCAGGACACAATGGCTCATTAAAGCTTGGTATTTATCCAAGTGAATGAGTCAGTGATTTAAATACTTGACCCGGTTTGCATTAGGTTCATTCCAATTACTTGCAGTGATTACAGGTAAACACTATTGTAATCACACTGCTAGAAAACCAAGAAGTACTCTGGGTTTGTCATACGAATCTGCACTTATTATATCAGTGGTATATCAGCACCTTCAATTTGATATGGTTCCTACATCAACATTCTTTTGAAGCTGTGTTTTTGAGCCACTAATATTAAGTCGAATCACTCCATTTAATCTGTGTCTTTGCGCTGATAGAAAAATCACAAAGCTGAATGCCATGAATGCTAAGAGACGCTTCAAAGGAGAGTTGAGTCATTATCTTCGCAAGCAACTGCTTTTCCAAACTAGTAATAAAGCGACCCCTTTGGAATAGTTGCATGTTGTAAGCATGTCTTATAACTACTGTATATAACAAAATAACAATCAAAATGGAGAAACAAAAAGAGCTATTGTAGAGTCTGTGTCATAACAGCTTCTGCTACTCATAAGAAATGGCTCGCGACCCAAGAGGAAGAAATGCTGATGTCACTGGGCTGTCATCACCAGAAAAAGTCACAGCAGTCATGTTTACTTCCATGGAGTTGATTCTGCTGCTTCAACATACAGCTGCAGAAGAACAGCTAATCTTCAACAGTGCTCATCCGCTCTGTTTGCCGACATCTGATTATAGCGAACTCAGTGGATGGATGTTCCTGCACCCATGTGTTTGTTTTACAGTGAATCCATACCCTGATGATGTCAACTTATTAGATGATAAGATGATGACATCAAATGATTTACACAGAGGCTGAGAGATTGCAGGCCCTGGCTGTCCATTTTGGCATGCAGGAAAGTGTTGATGTACTAAAATAGGAGATCAATACCTATTAAAGACAATCATAGATCAGCTCTGGTTAAGTGAAAAGAATTTCCAGAAAATCCAATAAGCTCCTGATTCATGTCACCACAGTTTAAATCGGATTTTTTTTCTATGCATGTCCAGGCTCATCGCCAGCCTGTTCATCTTTCAGCACCCCACAGATCCCAGGCTAATCCATTTCTCAATGCACTGAATTGATACTGAGCTCCCAATATTGAACTTACAATCCGCTACTTCTGTCCTTTTCTCTTTATCTCTACTTCTCTATATATTCCCTTTGCCCTCTCTACAGTGTATTTTCAACGCCCTCTGCCTTCAAATCAGATCCCCATACTTAAAGTCTGTCTCCTTCCTTCTGTCTGATACAGACCTCTCACTAGGCCCAGACAATTTGCGAGATAGGAAAGAGAGTGAGGCTTCACAGATTCCTTATCTTATTTTAGACTCGACAAGCAGAACTAATGCAAACGTTCTTCACCGTCTTACTCGTTCACTGCGATAACCTGCATTAATATGTGATTATATCTGCATATGGCTATATAAGGGGTACTGTATAGAACACTTTACACCAGTACCACATCTGGTTCTTGGTGGTAACTACAACAACTATAAAGGGATAAGAAGAAAATTCTGATTCCTTTTCTGACACTTTTGTAATTCCTCCTCACAGACAAGAGCCTCACAGGGTTACATTTGCTGTGCCAATTGTTTCTCTTTCTGTCAGCAAAATTACACAAAAGCTACATGGCCAAATTTCATCAAACCTGCTGCAGAGATATAGCAGCAGAAAAGAATGAACCTTTTGTATTTTGGTGCAGATTCTCACTTTCTCTAAAATTGATAGCTAGGACACAGGCCTTAGAAGACTGTGCTCTTCCTGTATTTTTCCCATGAAATACTAATGCTGCATCTCAAATCACATATTTCCTCTTTTGTTTGCCTAGAGTAGCCACACTAAAAAGAACAGCTACACCCGGTACACTCCAAGTAACTTGGTGGTATGCTTAAAACAGACAAAACCCTGAGTGTAAAATTCTGTACACTTTTCATTTTCACTAGCCACCATCTTGGTGATGCACCAATAATTTGTTTGACAGTAACAGGAAAACATTGTCAGCATAGATGGAAACGCTACCGTTAGCTATCTATATCTATATTGATATCTATATCTATAGTTATAACAACAAATTTGAAAATTTTTTCATAACAACTATAATTATATTTTAGCATTAAAAATGCTGTTTTGATAAAGAGCTTGTGCATACTGGTGGATTAACTATTATACATACATTAACATAGAAAATGATTTTGGCAATTTAGGCTAATTTAGGCTTGTTAGCCCTGCAATAGACCGGCAGCATGTCCAGAGTGTACACCGGCTCTCGCCCCATGGCTGCTGGGATGGGTACTGAATTGGATGGATGTTAATTTAGGGTCATAAGAGTTTGAACAATGAAGAAAACTGGACTTCTTTATGTTTTCATGGTTCACCTAAGATGTTTCTTCAGTTCACAAACTTGTTTTCTCAAGCTCTTAAGACAACCATAAGTTGAATGATAACCTACACACTGCAGCTGTGTCTTGGCGTATATTTTATTTTCTTCGGTGTAAAAGAATTTAGCTTTGGATATGTGGACAAAGGTTTGACAAGTTGTAAATGTAAGAAAAGTTGGCAGCTTGTACAGCAATGGTCAAATGCTCCAACCGTTATTTCCAATGAGTGAATAGCTCTTTCTTCTTTTTTTTTTTGTCTTGGGTCAATTTGCTGGTCTGGAACATTCAGGTCTGTGTTATCACAATGCCAAAGAAGAAAGGCGAAAGGAATAGCCTGAGAGAAGCAACCGTTGCTGTCCACAGGGAAGCCTGTCATACTACAGTGAGAAAGATTATTCACAACTGGAAAACAAGTCAGTTGCCAATCTTCCCAGCAAATTCACCCTAAGGCCAGACTTTGCAATGCTCAGAGAAACTGCACAAAAAAAATATAAAAACAGTTAAGCTACATCTCAAACTCTACAGGCCACAGTTAGCTGGTTAATGTTAAAGTTCATGACAGTAGAGTTAGAAAAATACTAAACAAGTATGGCTTGTTTGGAAGAGTTAACGGGAGAAAAGCAAACATCTGTAACAAAAAAGAAAAAGGCAGTACAGCTTAATTTTGCAAAGTTGCATCTGAGCAAACCACAAGCTCTCTGGAACAACGTTCTTTAGACATATGGGTCCATATTTGGCAAAAAAACGAAACCAAAAAACACAGCATGTCAGTATAAACACCTCATATTAACTGTCAAGCGCGGTGGTAGAAGGATGATAATTAGCAATTTGAAACAGTAATCCATGCCTTTGTAGCCGTTCGGCTGGATTACTGTAATTCTCTTTATTATGGGGTGAGTCAATCTTCTGTTTTTCGACTGCAGCTAGTTCAGAATGCTGCTGCACGTCTTTTGACTGGCACTCGTAGATGCAAGCATATCACCCCAGTTTTATATTCACTTCATTGGCTGCCCGTGCATTTTAGGATCCATTTTAAGCTACTTTTATTTGTTTTTAAATGTTTGTCCAATGCTGCCACTCTGTACCTCTCGGAGCTTCTTCATCCATACATACCTTCCCGGTCCCTCAGGTTGACAGACCAGTTCCTCCTAAGCATGCCCAGGACTAATCGTAAACTCAGAGGGGATCGGGCGTTTGCTGTGGCAGCACCAAAATTGTGGAATGAGTTGCCTTTACATGTTAGACAGGCGCCTTCCTTATCTGTTTTTAAATCACATCTTAAAACATATCTATTTACCTTGGCTTTCAGCACAGCAGGACTTGTTGTTTCTTAATATGTTTCTTATTAATTATATTATTTTTAATTTTAAGATATTCTATATGTAAACTGTTTTCTCTTTGTTTTATATTTGTAGCACTTTGGCTAACATTGTCGGATGTAAAGTGCATTATAAATAAAGATGCTATGCTATGCTAATTAGGCTCGTTTCACAGTCACAAAACCTGGGTAGTCTGGAGACATCAAGTCAACCTCTCTGTATGCCAAAGTCAACCTGATTGAAATATTGTGGTGGGATCTAAAGAGACCAGTGCACAGATGAATACCTGCAAATCAGTGAACTGAAGCAAATTTGTAAAGAAGAGTGGGCCACATTGCTCCACAAGAATGCGATGATGATGTTGGTTTATGAGAAAGTCATACAGCAAAAGAAATTGTGGAAAAAAATCATGGGTTCCAGTTGGTTTTTCACAGCACTGGATAGAGTCCTGTGAAAAATGTTCAGATGACTTAAGCGTGTGTAGCGGTATGTAGAATTTTTCATACTGAGACCCAATGTAAATGGGAAGCGGGGCACATGAACTGCAAACTGCTCTGTGTTGAAAGGAGTTTTCTCTTTCATTCACCATGCATTTCTCTGTCTTTGTTTTTCCAGTCTTTCCTCGTTTTGGCTCTGTAGCTACATGTTTCTGATCTACGGTAACTGAGCCCATCAGTTGATGAGTGTTTATTGTTTGATGTCTTCTCAACACTACATAGAGAAAAGGTAATTACTCTTCTTTGTAAAGTGCCCTGTGATGACTGTTGTTGCAAACTAGAGCTTTATTCCTAAAACTAAAGTGAAATTAAAATAAATTATTCAGTTTTGTGCTCTGTGAGACGAATGGGAATCAATGGGATACAAGGAAAATAGGGTTTAAAGTTGAGTCAAGTGCAAAAGTTACAGAGTTCAATGAGCAGGTCAGATGATGCTAGTAAATGCATTCAAGGATGAGGTCAAGTGACTGAATTAAATCAGAGTGCGAAGGGGATTTTCTTCTCTACTAAAAAATATTTTGCTGTAAACTTCTGTTATAGCTAGTCTATTCAGGGAGTGCAGAATTATTAGGCAAGTTGTATTTTTGAGGAATAATTTTATTATTGAACAACAACCATGTTCTCAATGAACCCAAAAAACTCATTAA